TTCGCGTTAAGAACCGATTAACTGTATTGATAATATTAGCCGTGGTGCTACACAAAGTTTTTGGTTTGAACTCATACTTTTCGGGGTCTAAATCAGTAAAGTAAAAAACTAGGCCATAACAGATGCAGTACCTACAAAAATATATTTTACTACTGTTCGTTGACGCTTTTGATTTAATCCACAACCCAACAAACACATGACGAACTTTGGCACAATGAGTACGGTTCTATTATCATCCGGTATCGACTCGTTAGTAACATTCCCGTAATGAATGCCAGCCTGTATTTAGTTCCATTTATTTGCGGTTTTGATTCAACTGCTTCACCAGAGGTCGACTATAAAAAGTCGTTTATAGATACCTCAGCCCCCTCTGATCGATCCCTCGCCCAATTCAAATGAGGATCAACATTACGACGTCCTGAGCTGAGGTTTGAACACCTAGCTGTGGCAGACTAAAGTCGTATCCGTCAGGTGGGAGTTGGCCTTCAGCCGCTCCATAAGTCCTTCCGCGGGTTTAGAGTGCCATCTGCACTCGCCCCCTAAAGTCCGGTAAAGCTGTAAAGGCCAGCTGCATTAGAGTAGTCCAAAGAAAATGCTATGTAAAAACAAGGACTTGTCTGTTCGATAAATTAGAGTATTTTCTATGTACGAGTATATTATACAAGTACGTGTTTAGAAGGCGCTGTGTGAATTGTCGTAGATTATTAAAGTTATTAATTTGTTATTCTAGTCGCCATATATTAACGAGAATTCATAATTTTATGAAGATTCAAACAGGATTTATTTAACGCTATTTTATTAATAAATAATTTAATAGAGTTTCTCGTTTGAGTGAATATTTCGTACAAACTTATACTACAGATGTACAGTGGTTATTGTTTTAGTTTTCATTCTCTATTATATTATATACCAAATATTAATATAGACACCAAAATCATTTTGGAAAATCTGTAGTCTTAGTTCTTTTCCGGTTTCCCGGTGAAGGGAAAACTAATCGTGAAAAAGAATTTTATCTGAAAATATGTCTCTCCAGGTCGAAATTTGTTGCTGGAATTTTAATTGAAATCTCTAAAGTAAAGCTTAAACATTTTAATAGTCAGAGAAGAATTATCTTTAAATATTTCCTGTAATAGACGAGGTGGTTCACAGCATTCAATGAACATTCACGATTATTGATGTGATTACTAAAATGTATAATTCTATACATAAAATCATTTTCATTAATTTTGTCATATTTATTTATATTATTACTAGCTGTCCCGGCAAACGTTGTTTTCCCACATAAATTAAATTCGCTATTAAAAAATAGGGTTTGGTGATAGTAGAGTAGGGCAGAAAAATTGGGGTTGTGTGTATTTTTTAATGCCACATTGTATTTATAAAAATGAAATATGAAAATCTTGTCCAAAAAATAATTAAAACGGTTAGGGGTGGTGGGGTCCACCCCTAACATTTTTTAAAATTTTTGTATAAAATATCATAAAAATCGGTGCAAACCATTTAGGGGAGTATGAAAGATAAAATTGATTCTCAGAATTTTATATATAAGATTACAAATGTCAGCTTATAAGTTATTTATAATATGTGCCATTAGTAGCCTGAAATAAATAATAAAACATTCTATATATTAAATATATAGTAATTTGATAAACATGGTTAAGAAATATTAAATTTTATGTGTTAAATATATAGTAATTTGTTAAAAATGGTTAAGTAATATTACATTTTACTTAAAAAAATATTCTAAGTATGTTTATATCCACTATTCATAGTACCCAGCTCTGCTTAGTTTGTAACTAGATGACAAAGTGTGTGATATATTATTTCTTTAACTTCAGTTAGCCATTACCCTTGTAAGTGCAGTATCGGATGATCTCAGCAAGCAAAACGGCCAATTAAGCGAAAAACTGAGTAATTAAGCGTAAATTACATCTCGGCTCGCTGTAAAATTGTTGTCACGGGAACCTTATGTCTATTTATGCTTACCCATAACTCGTGGAAGTATTCCTATTAATGTATAATATTATATTCTATCTATACTACTCGGCCTCGGTGGTCTAGCGGTTTAGCACACCGCTTTACTTTTGATGGTCACGAGTTCGATTCCTCGCACGGTGCTAACATTTGTATTTATGTATATGATTGTTTGTATAGGTCTCGATGTTTTCTATGGGTATTATGTATTTACAAAAAACTAGACATCTAACTTATACAAATACTTAGATTTATAATCTAAGTATTTGTATAAGTTGCCTAGTATCCATAACATAAGCTCTGCTTACCGTGGGCTCGATGGCACTGTGTTATAATAGTCCAGGGTTATTTATTATAATATAAGAGTGGAGTAGTAATTATGTCAGTATTACCAATGTATAAAGATTCATGTTTCTGTTCTGTTTTTTATGCAATTGGAATTGCAGGCTCACCTGAAGGTAACCGTCGCCTATGTACATGAACAGCACTTCGAATATTATCTTGTGTAAAAATTGGGTAAAGCATGGCATCTTAGTGCTTTGGAATGGCAATACATGAGTGGTATACTCATGTATATGCCATGCTGTAATTTCACTGCGTCATCTTACCCATCTGATGCCCGTGATATCGCTTATGCATTGCCATTCTGTAGAGCTAAAACGTCAATACCTTTATCCTGTAATTTTACTATCTTATCTCATTTCTAAACTGAAACACAACTTAGAAAGTAAGCAGCTTAATGATATAGGTAAGATTAAAATAGTTAGTAGTGTATATAATAGTTAGTAATAACCATATTACTAGCAATATATAGTATATAGTCAGGTTGACCTCCACGTGGATATCCCTACAAAAACCATCGTGATAAATTCATGATGAACTTACCACGATGAGCTAACTGACCTGATCTCATCGTCTTATCTTCCTCCACTGGTGCCCCGCCAGTGAAAACCTTTAGCGCAGATGCACCATTCCATTATGGATGTTAATAGATTGCTGCATAAGAAAAAAAACCACGACTTTTAAGAAAGTCTGTGATCGTGGTTAATTCCTTGCAATTTTATGCAATTAATTAATTGGCTACTATAAATTAAGTAACTTGATTTTATACTGCCTCTAGTAGCGTGCCTCTAGCGTATACCATTAACGCCATTCTTCATCGTCCGCAAAAAAAGTTAATAGAATGTCATAGATAAATCTGTGTGAAATAATGAACACGCCCATATAATAAAACATTGTAACTATCATCTATACGTATCTATCTACTATGTATACCGTCTACAAACATCAATGTTGGCAATTGGCATTGTATATATAAAGTCTGTAAATAGTGCTGCACCATCTTGTTAAGTTGCCATGAAACGATGGTAGATATATTTTAGGGAATTAATCAAAGTTCTGTAAACATAATTGTTATTTATTTTCAAATAATAATTGAAAAGATAATTGTAATAACTAAGTCATTTAATGTACATAATAATGCATTTTATTTCGTATTGCAACAGTGTAGGTACATTATAACTATGCTCTGTCAACATCGATTCATTAAACGTTATAAATAATTCATATATTTACTAATATAAATAACGATATATAGCGAAAGTGTCTGAAACGTACACAATACCCAGCCTTATAGCGGTTTCTTACACTTTTACTATAAATTGAAGTAATAATTAAATATAAATTACAACAGTTTATCGCTAAAACGACATCAGTAGAATTAAACAAGCTAACATTTCTAAGAAATTCTGTAATTATCGACAATTGCCATGACGAAACAAACTACTATTTATGTGATGAAAGTATAAATATCTTTAAAATCTATTATTATGAGTCTTTATACGTAAGATACTAATATAGTAGGGTTTAAAATTATTTTTCCGAATACTGTGTTTACCTATTTTCTGCACACATAATGTTGTTTTGTCATTATGAATAATATTATTCGCAGCCTATTTCGACTAATCTTATCAATATCAGAATTATTATAATTTATTCAGACATATAGGTATATTAAAGAGTACAGACATGGATAGTAGTAACCCTACTTATTCGCACATAAATAAACCATGAAAACTTACACACGTAATACATATACATATTACACAACAAACTTGATACTTACTGTTCGGGTTAAAAGAACGAGACAACACGTATCTGCCATTTCATTTTGTTAGTTACAGACTACTGCAACATACTCGTACATACAGATTTTATTTGTATTCAGAAAATAATATCTAATAAATACGTCTGCGTTTTATGTAAGAGTTGGTATGTTTTGGTACGTCTTTTTTTAACTTTATATTAATTATTAACGAAAACTTACACAAAAAGGAAATAATTATAAAATAAAGAAATGTATTAATATATTAAAATATTATTAAATAAAAATTACGTCATGTATAAGTTACGAGTATAATGTATTTCAATAAAAATCAATAACAATTAAATTCACTATATTACTGTTGTAATTTAGGTCATAATAAAATAAGCGCATTTTGCTTAATTTTGTTTTATATGCAATATATATTATATTAAAATAATATTATTATAATACTCTATATTAAACATTGTTCTATAATTATATAACTATTTATATCACAACGTAAAATAAATTATATTGTACGTATAACTTTTAAAATTCATATACATCAATGCACCACGTCCTTAGCTCATTAGAAGATCGACAGTTGTTTAATTAAAATCATTATGTATTTTATTTAGTTATAAGGGACATAGCAATCAAAAACAAAAGTAATTAATTGCAATATTATTTAAAATATGAGTATATAATACAGAATAGTAATATATATATATATATATATATATATATATATATATATTACTTTAGTAATACAAAGGTTATATAAAAATAATTAATATTAGTTATATAGGTAAACAGATAGAAAAGGTATCCAAAAGTGCATAATAAAAAGTGGTATAATATTAATAATTATTAAAAAGATCACAATGAAATTATATACAAATATTTTAAATAACAAATGACAAACCAATTGAAAATAAGAATGGTATGATAAGGTATTTCTGCCGTACGTTTTTACTCAAAAAGAAACAAAGCTATTCTTTTTGATGTAAATGCAGAGATTTTACTAGACAAATTGTAACAGGGGAAAAGGGTCGTATAGTAAATAATCATGATAATCAATTTCTCCTATTTGACACAATACCTTCACGTGAAAAAATTATGTATAATAGCAGAAATGATCATCAATATATAACTTTGGTGACCACAAGTTACGCTTGACAATCTTCACACACTTCTGCTGCTCTCTTCGTTCTCTCATTAGCTTCATCTTCGAATTCATTTCGGTCGTTCAATTCTTCGCTGTCTCTCCCGAGTCGGATAAAATGGTCTCGCGCTCTCGATTTCCTCTGAGGATAGCCACTAACTACTAGTTCAGAACTTTGTTCATAACCGGTCTTGTCTTCGTCGGGAGATCTACCGAGTCTGATGAAACTTGGGTTACGGCCAAGTCTAATAAAGCTGGCTGATCTTTTGGCGTTGTCGTAATCATCTCCGTAGGTTTTCAGTAATGATACCAGGTCGTCAGTGCTGAGTGCCATTGGCTGGGATCTTCCGAAGCGGAGGAAACTGTTGCCTCGGCGTACAGGACGCTGAAGACTTTCTCGGATGTCAGCTGCTGATATTTCTGGGGGATACGACCTCCCGAACCTGAGGCAAGATTTTATGATACATGTTCCATACATATAATAAAAAAGAATGATTTTTTTCTTTGCCTGTTTGTTTATGCGCTTCTGCTTGCTCGATAGCAGATTTCCTGATTTGGATCTAATTTTCACTAATGTATTGTCATAAGTCACAATTTAAAGTTTATAGTTTTAGTACAATCGGGCTGTGTACAAAAAAAATTATACGGGTACTAAATCACGGGTTCAGCAATTACTATACCTCTATATATTGAACTTGTATATAATATATAGTGTTTATTAATGTTCTTTTTTATTATTGTTTCATGCAAAAAAAAATACGTAACTATTTAGTGCCTACTCTTGTTATTATAAATACGTTTCTTGAATACAATCTTACGATGCGAGTGCTAATTATTTGTGACATTATTAATTATGAATTAATTTGTCTGATTAGACTATCATGATGTTTACGTTAACGTTATTAGCGTAATATATTATAAAATGTCGATCAGTTATATTATTATATGACAATTACTGTGCAATTTCATGAAATAGTTTATTCATAACTGTTTATGTTGTCATATTAACTATGATATTTAAAGCCAAAAAAATATGTATCATGGTTTATCTAGCAAAGCAAGTGTTCCGTTCACCATAACTATAAATGGCAGTGCCTCTGACTATCCCATGCGATATTACAGTACATCATTCACATCATTCTTTATCAGTTCTACTATCTAATCATATCGTGTCAATATTAAAACTACCTACCTAAATAACAAAGGTTTCTTTAATCATGATTTAATCCTCACCTAATCATACTGCGGTCGATGGCACTCCTCCGCCTTGCTTCAAGATCTGGAGATCTTCTAACAGGCGTGGACGTGGCACCAACGATCAGCCATAGCGCAGCCAACACTGCTACGCTTCGGGAACAGCTCCTCATGATGGCTGATGGGGATCTAATGAAAAGAGAAATCTTGTGAGATGATATGTAGAATTACACTACCGGTACTGCTTCAACAGCAGTAAAGTTACTGATACTAAATTAAATACTTTGTTTTTATTAAAGAGGTTGGAGCTATTACTCCGTGCGAGAACCTGCGACCTATATGGATGTATCACACGTCCTTTGTTTTAAGTTTGCTGCCTAGGCCCGTCAGGGATAAAAATTGAAGGATATTCTCAGGAGTGATGGTTTTTATCTCCTCAGGATAGAGTGTGTACTTTCTAAAGAAGATGTTTCATATATACATAAATATAGGTATAAAAGATCCGCTTATTAAAGAAATTAATTGTAGTGTAGTGTTATAAAACTAAATATTAAGATGTAATAAATAATATGACAATTTAAACTTATAGCTTACTTTAATTCAATAAAATGATAACATAATAGGGAGTCACAAGAGTTTTACTTAAATTTGGGGCTTTCTCGTGGGTCACGACATAAAAAATATGGAGAAACGATAGTTTAAATATAATAAATTAAACTTTGACCTCGAATAGATATTTGTCGGTAGTTTTTTAAATAGGATGGCGTTTAAAGCGCACAGTCATTTTACGTATCGGAGCTCGGCCTCAAATCGCTTCGCAGACCAGACGGCGCCTGACTCGCCCGCAAATTCCGCGATAACACATACGTTTTATTTAATTTTGTATGACATTGCTTATCATTCTCGATGAGGGGGAAATACCTGTTTAAAGAAATTATCTCACAATTTTTTAATATATTCCATAACAAATATTTAAATACTTTATTTTATTAGCCGAGTCCGCGGTTTCACTCGCATGATATTTATAGCCTAAATGTTATTCTGTAGTTTTATCAAAATCTGTTCAGTAGTTATTCGTAAAAGAGTAACAAACATCCATCTATCTATCCATCGATGCGCACAAACTTTCGCGTTTAGAATATTAGTAAGATTGCGAAATAATAATTATATATTATTTCAGTCTTATTCTTGTCCATAAATTAAATATTGATGTATAGATTGAATATGCTTAATTTGGAATTAAACAATGGTAGAAGGTACGTAATTCTTTTTTTACATGATTTATTTCTTTTTTATTTTTCATAAATGGAATGGGAAATAAAGTGGTGAAATGGTAACCTTCGCATACGAATAGTACTAACTAGTTATGGGTGCCATGATAAAAAGAAAAATACGAGCATATATAGACCCAGCCACTTTAGGAGACGTAAAAACTATAAAAGCATAATGAAGACACACTCGTAAAATCGATTGTTGTAGATTGATGCGAGTCGCGGATCGTAACAATAAATTGTGTGTTTTCTGAGAGTGGGCACAATTTGTTTATGCCGTTTTTATTCACCAATAAATCGTATTTATGCATTGACCAGTTAAGTGTTGGGTATATATTGATCAACCTTTATATGTGTACTAGTTACGCGTCCCGACTTCACGCGATACATTACAAATCTTTGAATTTCTCGGTTTTATATCCTTACTAATATTATAAATGCGAAAGTAACTCTGTCTGTTTATCTCGCTTACACGCCAAAACTACTGAACCGATTTTAATGAAATTTGGTACACAGATAGTTTAGACTAACTTCCTACAAAAAATACCTAACCTGCCATCTAAGTCTAAACCAATATTATATAAAGATAGATTAGATTTATGCACTGCAATGGATAATGGACGTCCTCGGTGGTCTAGTGCAGCGGTTTAACAGCGCCTTACTTCAAATGGTCGCGGGTTTGAAACATGTATTCAAGATTGTTAGTATGTATCCCTCTAAAGGTATAAGCTATCTAATGTACTCATTTTTTAAATTGGTCGGATTAACAATATTCCGCTGCAACTTCATCGTAGTGTTTTACGATAGAAATGGATTATGCTGCCGTCATTCGATCTTACTTGATCGCATTTTTTGAATTGAAATTATTTAATATTGCATCACAACTTCAATAGAAACAATTTCATATCGTGTTACATAATTAGCCCTCTGGTTATTTTCTCTGTATAATATGCATATATTGACATGTATCCAAATATTTCTATCGGTTATCTAGTACCCATAATATAAGCTCCGTAAAGTTACTAGGTGGCAGTGTATGAATTATCTTGGCTTATTATTTATCGCGCACATATATTTTATATGCGCACGTGTTGCCTCTGGTTTTAGGCGTCCATAGATTACGGTAGCCGTTTACCATCAGATGGGCCATTGGATGCTTGTTTACCATCGTAGCATAAAAAATATTTGTAACTAATCTAATATATGTACAAAATTCTCTTGTTTTATATTTCACGAAACCAGTGTTTCATGTTTATACTCCTCCGAAATGGCTTGACCGATTTTGATGAAATTTTATATGTATATTCAGTAGGTCTGAGAATAGGTTTATAACTAATTTTTATACCCCTAATAATTAAGTGTTAAGGGTGGCTCACAACAAAAATTTGTTTTTCTTTTTATCGACAAAATGTTTTATTTTATTTTATTATAATTAGGCTTTTAAAGACACATACAACCCTAAATTTTTACCTTCTATCACCAACCCCTATTTTTTAATAGCGATTTTTATTTATATGGCAAAACATAGTTTGCCGGCTCAGCTAGTACTATATATATAAATATACTCAAGAAATATTAAATCATTTCTAATAAATAATATATTTCACCGATACAAAGGTATATTAGCAACAAGTAACATGCCCTAAATATACTATCATGTAGTAGCCCTGTAGCCATCGGCAGTATTCACGAGATTTCGGATAGAAATATAAATAATATCTATTGAAATAAACCTAAATAAAAAATATAAACACTTTTGTATAGTTATATTTTTTTATTCTACCACCCATTCGAAACGCTGACTCTTGCTGAACGCTGAAAGAACTTGCGTGTTGCTCTTTTAAACAAAACTTCTTCAGCACCGAAGGGTGTTGTGTATTGACGCTATCCTGGCAAATTGGCGTGGTCAGTACCGTGACTACACATATAATATCAATATATTAGTTTTAAAATATTATTTCATATGTATGTTAGTCTATAAGGTACTTATAATATGGGCCTAGTTGCCTGAAATAAATAATTAAATAATAATAATTACATTTTTAAGATTTCGTGTGAATAGAAACTTCCAAATAGCTACTTAAGAAATGAAATTATTTTCAGATACTAGTTAGGTCTAGCACACCACATTTAAAATATTCTTAAGATATCATTTAACTTTTTATGAAATATCATTCAAATTTGTATACCAATTTATATCCCTACAAAGTTTATATAGGTATCGTCTGTCTGTATATCGTACTATTATTATAAACGCAAAAGTTTGTGAGTATATATGGATGTTTGTTACTCTTTCAGGTAAAAACTACTGAAAACTTTTAATGACACTTTACAATAATATAGCTATACATCAGAATAACACATAGGATATAAATTTCTCGCGAGTGAAACCGCGGTCACAGCTAGTTTACAATAATCTCAAAAGATAATGTATGAATTTTCATCAATCGACAGAGAGAAGTCTGTGGAAGTTTTAACTAATTATATGTTAAAGATTCAAATAGATTATTATATCACAATATTAATACAGTAGAAGAAAATGACCCGGCGTAGTTACTTACATCACGCATAAAAAAAAAAAGTTTGGTAAATAAGGCACAATCAAAATTTTTATGGAGTATACAGTAATATATATTTTTATTTTTATGATAATGCTTAAAAAATACATCTAAAAAAAACATTACACACGTTAACTTACACAAATACAAACTTCTTTATATTAATTGAAAATTGTACTTTAACTACGGTTACATACTATTGAAATTAATTCCTGTCGACAACTAGTATTTGCAAATGGTTGATTGGTTTAGTTATAAGTTGTTTCTATAGTTATAAATAAGTCAGTCTAATCCCATATTTTTTTTTCATTACCGTGCTGCAATTAATACTATTTCTATTTTAATAAATATCTCTTTGAACTAAATATCCATACATACAATAATATATTCGCTATACAAAGTTCATATCTTGGTTGATTTCTCCGTTCAAACGGATAACGAACTACGTTAATAATTCTGATTGCACTTCGCTCGATAACAAAACATTAATTGTACTTTTATGTCTTGAGTCTCTCGGGAATAAGGTTTGTCAACTTTGACATCCATTTATATAAGTGTAGTAACATACACGTTGATGTTGGGAGCATAGTATGAGTTTAATAGGAGTAGAGTTCGGACAACACTTGGCTGACTGAATATAGCTTATATTTAATCTCAATATAGTGTCTGATGATGTCTGGTTCAGAGGTACACGTCTGGACTCAATAACTGTCGGAATTTGACCACCAGTATAGAAAGTCGTAACGGTAGTTAAGTTTCCGTACTGAATATTTGTGGCCTCACACATGTTAATTGTAGAATAAATAAACAAAATAATGTAATTCCATTAGTATATAAAGAATAGTTTTATACCTATTTAATACATTTACCACCCGATTGGGGTAGTATTATAATTTCATAAGAACTGGTAAGACACTCAACTTTGACAGTTGACTGCTCTGATTACTTCAAGATAACAATCCTGATGGTATATTTGTTATTGAACTGTACATTCAAAGTACCATTCGACATTACACTCCAATGTATAATATAATAAAGTCATTATTTACTTGTACATAGAATCATAACAATATACCATTAGGTTCAGTACACGCAATTCCTTCAACAATTAAGTATCATTCGAGGGTTGTTGATTCACTACTTATTTGTAAACATTGTGACACATTACTGTGCTCCTGTTATTTCAATTCCAATTTTAGACTGTTACATACTAAAATTAAATTATATTATTTGTATTGTATACAGGGTTAGTGCTAAAGGATGTACAAAGCTGAAAGTCAGTGTTAGTATTCATGGCATCAACTTATAATAAGTAAAGTGAAAAATTAAAAATATTTTTAAATTATATTTTTCTTTCTAC